ATTGAATCTTTATCATCAATCTAATGTATATGTGGAGCTGAAAGCAGTGGCTCTTTCAGCACAACTGTTTGGAAATATTCAAGAACAAATAAGTCAATTTGTACTGTCACTTTAAAATACAGCAAGGAAGGAGCTATTCGGGTGCATGAACAAAATAATTTTTTTTTCTGTATTCTTGAGCATCTGTGAAAATTTGATCACACCATTCAGGTTAATTCCTGATGGGATCCTGGTTGTCGGGTTTTGCATCACACCCACGGAAGATGGACGCCCTCCAGTAGAGTTGCACACACCACTGGGGCGCGGCCCAGTCAAGAGGGAGTGCCTTGTTCACTCCTGCACCGGCTTGGTGTCACAGCCCGTTTAAAGCTCTCTGCACGTGAGACTTGTTCAGGCAGAGCCATGGGGTTTTCCACCATAATCAGCAGGAAAGCCTGCGCAATCCCTTACTCATTCCTCCTTATCTCCCCGTTGAAGCCTTTTATACTCAGGTGCTCTCAGGGTCAATCTGAACACCTCAGCTGTTTCAGCCAATCGTGGGCTGCTGGCTGTTCTGAATGTACCTCTGTACTCTTCACACACATACATGTATCTGTGTAAATAGCTCCTGTCAGGTGTCTACTGGTGCGAACTCGGATATCCGATGACCATTTTGCAGATCTGGCAGCATCTTTTATTGTTATTGCTTATGAGCAGAAAAGCCAAGATTAAGGAAAGTGTTGTCTAGCAACTGTCAGCAGGATTTTATAGATTTGTGCTTTGTGAGTTAGAATGTAAGCAGCTGTTTGAGTTGAGCTCAGTATCTGAAGTATTGTAATTATGCTTACAGTAGTGGAGTTACCCAGAAAGAGTCGAAGATGTAATTGTTACCAAAGATGAGTTCCTATAGTTATGTAAACAGCACATTTCAGTCATTTTAGATCATTTGTGCTGTAAAGCTTGAAATAACTCATTTTGACTATTATTGTTTGATTTAAAATATCACATAAATAATAAAGTGATTTACTAAATGGTCTGAATACTGTTATAAGGCCCTGTATGTGTGTGTTTCATATCAAACAGTTACTGAAAAGGACTATCCATCCATCTGCTTATGTTGGTCAGGATTATGGGGGCCGTGCCCCAGGAAGCAGAAGACTGGGTTTATTCTTGGATAGAATGCCAGCACACATACATGTATAAACTCATACTCTCTGAGCAGTTATAGATGCAAATTAGCCTAGCTGAATGGAAACTGGAGTGTGCAGAGGAAATCCTCACCAAAAGATGGAGAACATGCAAACTACACACACACAGCGAAACAGGATTCAGCCCAACAGCGCTACCTACTGAACTACTTTTTTGCCAGAGAAAGTCTTTTGTGACATGACGAATTTAATTAAAAAAAAAAGTACATTCTGCAGCTATTAGAAATGTATTGTTCTGTTGTGGGAATGTCATCGTGAAAAATGACCAGCAGTGAGCACTTTATGGCACAGTGAAGTTGTCCTATAGACTTGTTTTGACGTGTTTAACCTGCGTATTTTAACAAAGGTTAAGAACAAGGTGGAGTGCGTAAATAAACCACAGACAGGAGAACTTCAGTAGGGACCTCCAGGTAGTCCCTGCAGCACGAATTAGTGGCATATGTAGTGACCACTGCCATGTGCTGGTTTGTGAAAAAAGATCCAGGAGGTCTATTTACAAATTTCATTTTCAGTTTTTTGTCTGTTACCATATTGCATGATGTTGATCTCCTCCTGAGACCCTACCCATTCATTTTGTTTTTGCATCTATCTTTTCTCTGATGTAAGGAAACATATTTATTCCTGCTGTACACTAAATAGGACATGCTGTGAAATTAAAAATAAAAATAAATTTGAAAAAATCTAAATTGTAAGATGTCTTATTTCCTCCAAAGACAAATAACCTATAATTGAAGGACACTTTTTTCCTTGGGTCTCAGGAGGGGATATTCATGCTTATTTGTCCAAACGTGTAAGGAGCCCCGGAACCACTGGTGAACTAAACAGAGGCAGGGACCTAAATACAGAAGGGTAACAAGACTAACAAGGGGCAGCTGAGATTAATGAACAAGGTTGAGAAAACAGGTCACAGGTGAAACTAATGAACTGAAAGGAACTAAACAGGGAAGCTAAGAACTAACCAAGAAACAGGGAAACAGAATCTAACACTGGGGAATTACAGACAGGTAAAGACACAAGCACGGGCACAAGGAACAAAACCAAGTACAAATCACAAGACACAGGAAATAGAAAACTCATACAAATGAAATACTAGGGAACAAAATCCAAAAACAGAGGGGGTGGGATTTGAACACACAACAGAGGGATTAACAGGTAGCGGCATGCTCAGCTCATTGAGCCATGCAGCTGGCAGGGAGCAGGGAAAACACTACAGACTAGGACAATGGGGAAAAGGACACAGACTGGGACAACAGGAGTTGACCCTGACAGGGTGTTGCTTGCTTTTGTTGAAAGATATTATAACCAGAAAACTGAATAAAGCTACCTTTACCACAGTGCCAGAGTTAAGGTTTAAACCCAAAACCACTTTCAGGTATACAGTACCTCTCTGGTATTCGTGTATGATGATGTATGTATGGAAATACAGACCTATACTGAAATATTCCAGAAAGTGGATTTGAGTTTAAAGCTGAACTCCAACACTGCTGTAACATTAGCTGCGTGTGCAGTTTTCCGGCTGTAATATCTTTCAATCTTTTTAATATATTTCAGTGTCTGTATGTGTGCACTTCACGTTCAATAGCCCATCTGTTTTCCTTAAAGTCACTGGCGGTGAATGGACACAACGCAAATATTAATTAATAAATGCTTGTAAAAAACACATAATATGAAAATTACATGGTAAAAAATTACAAGCCCAAATCTCTTGCATACATTCACTGGCGGTGAATGGACACTGCAATTATTAATAAATAAATGCTTTTTTTTTCCAACCACCATTTTTTCCTCCATGTCCCTTCCGGGGCTCCGTAGTAATGTGCTATTTGACTTACTTTTTTTGTTCATCACGTTGGACAAAAATATGTTCAATGTAAATGAAAAACAAAAGAATTTGCAGGCTCAAATGTAAATGACTCCTTTATAAAATAAATTATATTATTTGAATATTACTTGGATTTAGGGGCATGTTTAGGCTGAGTTGACTGTTCCTGATCTCTTTGCTAACCCTCATTTACACCGCTTTTCCTGGCCTGTATTAAAGTTTAAGTTTAACCTATTGACACCTTTAGGCATTTCTTGCAAATGAACCTGTCCACACTGGTTTTTATAATTGAAGCTTGCCTGGATCATTGTTACCAGCTACTTGTTAGCAGTCATGAAAGGTTTTTTCCCAGAATATTAGTCTCACTTTTGTCTACTTTATAAAGTTATGAGGATGTCTTTATGTCTCTGTGATGTTGCAATGTGCGTAGCTTTGGGTATTTCTGAACTAGAAACCCCTTATTATGGAAGAGAAACTAATCAATTGGCAGGGTGATTCCTGGCAAGACTGGTTTGCCATATTTTTTGTTTGTGCTAATTGAACGGTGAAGAAAAAAGACTAAATGCTATGTTAGAATATGCCAGGTGGAAAGGTGGTTTCTAACTCAATAACATACACCCTTTATGTATGCCTACAAGCAGCAACGATATCTCTTCGCACTTCAGATTTGTAAACCTATAATAATGTGTGTGAACAGTCACATGACAAATGCAATTCAAACGCTCATTCATCCCCAGAAGGAAAAGGTGTCTTCCAGCCCACATACTGTAACCTACAAAATCTTGCACATACATACATGCAGCCTGTGGTTCTAATCAGACCCGGAGTAAGGTGGGGTGGCTGATGAGGGGTCGATCCTGCCCACTTGTTTTTCTGGGAGTTTTGTCTACATTACATCAGCTGGCAGCTTTTGGGGGCAGCTCTTGTGACTCACTTCTGAATCATTCACCTTCTCACTTGCTCGCTCTTGGGCCTCATAATTAAGGTGGGGGTTGTCTACTTCCCCTCTTTCCCAAAACAGCCGCAGTCTGAACTTTTCCACAGCAATTGTCTCTGGCTTCTCGGTGTTACTGTGATGTGGGGTTATGAAGCTTCCAGCTAACATATAGCATACAGCTTTCTGTTACATGTGTGTCCTTGTGGTTCTAAGATGAGCCTGTTACTGACAGCTTTTCTAGACGTGTACTTGCTGTGTTTTTGTCATGTGCGACCATTACTCTTGTCTGTGAGCGTCGATGGGAGGCCCATGTAGCTGTCCTTAGCTCGCTCCTCTTAGGATCCCTTAGGATCCCTTCTAGCTGCCCTTACCTGGCTAGTCGTAGAAGCCCTGTCCTTAGCTCACTCCGCATAGGGCCCTTGTGGCTGTCCTTAGATCACTCCGCATAGGGCCCTCGTGGCTGTCCTTAGCTCGCTCCTCATAGGGGCCCTCGTAGCTGTCCTTAGCTCACTCCTTATAAGGCCCTTGTAGTTGCCCTTAACTCATTCTGATTGTTTATGGCATAGGAACTATGGAGGCCTTGTGTAGGTGTACTCATTTTCTTTCTATAAAGGTTTTGTCAGTGTTCTGTGAACCTTGTGAAGCTGCAGCCCACCTCAGGATTGACACCCTTGGTTCAGGAGGCTGCAGGCTTCCTTTGGCGAGTCCTGGCATATGTGCTGGGAGTGGCGATCTCTCCACAACCTGCATCCATGTGGGAACTATGTATTTTTCCATCTAATTATTTTTTATATGCAAATATCCTAAGTTTATTTTTGTACTAGCAGAATGCTTAGCATAGAAACTACTATGTTTATTTAGTTTTAGTATGATCAAGCTTTTGAACAGTAAAGACATATTTTCATAGCTGGATGGTCCTGTATATAGGTTTTCAGAATCACCGTGGCCCTGTTCTGAAGTGAATATGGATGGATGTCTCCACAATGGAGAATGATATTAATAAGCACACTCTAGCTGAAGAACATGTGTTGATCCATCTGGTTTTGCCTTTCAGGGAGACATTCGCAGCTTGTGTGGCAGCTGCTGGAAGTCTTTTCAGCTTGGTCCTAGTTTTGAAGTTCATCCCCAAACATACCAAAAAGCAGACTGTTGAGAAGGACGATTCTTCAGGTAAGCGGTTCATTCCAATAAGTGCACAGTGCTGTACTGTTGGCTGTGCTTTGCAGGGTAGAACTTAACTGTCCGAGGATGCATTTGCTATGATAAATAAAAGCACTAACTCTTCTTGACCTTCAGAAAGGGGAGTAGCTGGGTCGGTGTTCAACCTCGCAAAGATTGCCAGGCTAGTGAATTTCCCTGGTGTGGCAAAGATCTTCACTGTAAAGATCATTTCGGGTCTGCCTGGCGGTGAGGATAATAAATCTCAGAGACCAAAATAGCAGCCAAAATGTCGACACCTTTCTTATGCCTAAACCTGTCTCTCAGGTGTGTTCCAGGTCATGTTCTCTATAATCGCCATGGACTTCTTTCAGCTTCAGGCTGAGCAGACTGGGTACCTCATGGCCTACATTGGAATCATACAAATGGTAAGAGCAGCCTAAACACGTTTGAGCCCTGGGACATATGCTGTGAACCCTCTGACATCGACTGTCCCACAGCATGGAGCTTTGATAAGTAGGTGGGTGCCTGTATTTGTACATATTGTGAGCCTGTTGGCTTTACATAGCTCTGGATCACTTGGTAATGGCCAGCATAGTTACTAATCGAAGCATTAATAACTGGAATTCCATATACCGTTGGGTGTGAATAAAGGTATAGTGAGCTGGGCTTTAGAGGGAGGGGTGCACAAGCAGCCTTCTTCTTTTCCTACAGGTTGATCATGCTTGTTTTGAGGTATTGTTTCTGTTTTCCCAGGCCTTGAGTTTCCTTTATGTCGATTTATCTCAATATAACATTCTGATTTTTGGCAGCAATACTTCCTGCTTCTGTTCTGCCCGTGTATCTCACCTCAATCCCACAAGTGCTTTACTGCGGGTCGTCTTTGGCTGCACGATCAGATTTCCGCTAAAATCCTGGCTAACATTCTGGCATGACATCAGAGTTGTCAGTCTTCCTTATTTAAACCAGTGCCAAGAAGGTGGAAATCTTCAAGCCTGAAAACTGCTTCCTGGTATTGCTCAAGTGGTCCATGTTTTTTCAGCAGCTTGAAATATTATTTTTGTTCCACACCAGTGAGTCGGGTGTATAAATGCAATAATTACAGTATTGAAAAGTCTCTGAAGACATTTATTACCAAGGAACTCTGCTACCTAAGTCAATGACGCATATGGCTTAGTCAATATAGACAGGTTTGATTCTTTATAACAAAAGATCTTTATAGTTATAGCTATGTACATTTAAATTTTTCTTAACTCTACTGCACTTAAACATTTTTGTTTTACTCAGTGCTATACATCCCTGCTTTTAGCAGTTGTTCTAGCATGCATAATTTACTGGAAATATCTAACCTGATTTTTAAATGTGATAATATGAAGGAGATAGTATGTACATATATGGGCAATGGGGGTGCCGTGGTGGTGCAGTGGTTAGCACTGTTGCCTCACACCTTTGAGACCTGGGTTTGAGTCTCTGTCTGGGTTCCATGGGTGTGGAGTTTACATGTTCTCCCTCTGTCGTGAAGGGGTTACCTCCAGCAGTTTTAGTTTCCCCCCACAGTCCAAAAACATGCTGAGGCTGATTAGAGTTACCAGATTGTCTGTTGGTGTGACCTGTGATGGGTTGGGGCACCATCCTGAGATGTTCCCTGCCTTGGACCCATAGGTTCCTGAACACCTTCCTTGACAATGGACTATACTGATCATAACCACAGATGTGCTTATAACTTCATTATGAATGTACATTGCAGTGAGTGTGTGCATCTTAGTTCATGTCTAGGGTAATGTTTCAGTCTTATGTTAGATGTAATGCACAATGGTCTCAAAGCTTTGATTTCTTATACAACAAAAACCTGTCCAGTGATTCAGTTGACTAGTAATATTATTCAATATTTCTCAAAGAATTTCCCCGTTGTGGGATTAATAAAGTCTAATATAATCTAATCTAATCTAATCTAATCTAAGCTTGGGGCAGAGCACCTTCCAGATCATGAATGGTAGCATGACTAAGTTTTATCTCTCTGATAAGACATTAAAAACCATTCCGGTGTATAAACTGCAACCAGCCTTCAATCTCCAGCACACATCCATTTCTGGAGGTTGATGTGTCATTGAGCAAATATTCCAGCCCCTACTACTTTGGCCGATTACATCCTGTTTACCTGTTTAGTCATCAGTTTCTTCCTTTTTATTTTCATATGTACATATAAAATAAGAAAGCAACAAAGGTGCGAATTCAGTCAAGAAACTGAAAGCGTATGAATTTCTGTTTAATTAGCCTCTGCATCTTCACTCTGCTAGGTGATACAGGGCGGTGTGATTGAAAGGCTGACGTCCAAGTTCTCTGAAAACTTGTTGCTTCTGTTCTCCGTTGGTCTGACTAGCCTAGTGGGCTTAATGCAGGTAAGGTCTTGTTTTCCATGACTATTGCATAGTGAAACAATGAAATGTGAAAGTGAAATGCTGCAAACTGCAGTCCATCCATGACTTTAGAGAACTGTCTCAATGTGAATTTTTGTCATTGGTTGATTTTTTTCATCAGTCGAAGGCTCTGCCAAACCTCTGACTTTGAATGTGATAGTATTTAATTGCCTTATCTTGCTCAGCAATCATTCAGTATAAAATTACACACTTTCAGTGAATGTTCTTGTGATAAGTTGTCACATCTGTAAACAGGCTAATTGCCACCACACCCCTCTGATAAAACCCACAGCTATTCGGTCTTTTGAGCCAGATAGATGATCAGACTCCCCTTTTAAAATATGCAAATACAGTGTGATCGCTGTGTTTGCGGTTTCAGTTTCCTGCTGTATGAAAAAAAAAAAACTGGAGAATTCCCAAAATAAATGGTTCATACGTTTCAAACCGTGTGTCAAGCGAGGACAGGCTCTTTACATGGTGAAGTCCGCCAGCCTGCCATTACAGGTCATGTACAGGTGCATGATGCAATATTTTTCATAGCAAAATGTGTAATGATAGCCTGTTGTTTCATTGTTCCTTCATCCTTTGAGAGGTGCAAAAAACATGATTTTCATTGCTCTGTCATCCTTCGATACATCTTTTCATTTCTCTCATCTCTTGAGAAGTAAGCAAAAGCATCAAAATCCCTTTCATTATAGAGAAATACAGTGGTACCTCGGTTCTCGAACTTAATCTGTTCCAGACTCCGGATCGAATCCTAAAAAGTTCTGATCGAATTTTTCCCATAAGAAATAATGGAAAACCAATTAACTGGTTCCCGGCCCCCCAAAATTACACCTAAATATGTTTTTTTTTTTTTTTAGCATTTAAACAAAAAATGAAAGTGATAAAACAAGGTGCATTTTTTTCTTAATGGCTTCCAAAACGATAAAGATCTTATCCCAACATTACCCCTGTCCTGCCCCGATCGTCCGCTCCTTCCGTGTGCCACGCCCCCTCGTTAACCCCGTGTGGGATCCCCATGTGATCAGCTGTTTCTGGTTGTTGTCATTAGTCCTCTGTATTAAGTCCGCGTTTCAGTTTGTTTCCCCATTCCGGTCATTGGGTGCGTTCGACTTGCTTACAGCGCTGGCTTAAAGCAACGCATTCTGATCCTGACGCAATGGATTACGGTTAGATGCATTGCGACCTCTCACCCGGCTGCACAAACTGGAACCGCCTCCGTGACGACACACCTTTGCCCTTATTGGCTGAAGAGTTTAGTTACGCGCATGACGTTTGTATCCCAGGCAGTTCCTATGTGTAATCTGCTATTTCTCCCGAATATCACGTAAAGCAGTGAGAACTGGTTTTCATTTAATTTACCTGGTAAAATAAAGTTTAAATAAATTACATAAATGCTCTAATAGTACACGTAAGTTAGTGGTTTATTTATTGTTAGTTACTGTAATGTTGAGCTGCTTTATTTGGTTAATCGTCCAGTATGTGAAGAAGGCATTCAAGTAAGAATTGCATTGTAGTATGACTCATTTCATGGCGCGTACAATATATATTAGGTCAGCGTTCACGGTTCGACTTCTGATATTCAGATCGAATTCTAGGTCAAACTGGTTTGTTTGACTTTCAAGAAATTCGAGTTCTAGTGAGTTCGAGAACCGAGGTACCACTGTACTGTATAATAAAGTACAAGGTAGTTTATTTTTACTGTTTGTAATGTTGGTAATGTTTCTCTTTTTGTAATTTATCAATTGAAATTTACCATATGTATGTGCACGAAAATCACATTATATGTGGGCTGTGTGCATGTTTCGCTGTTATTCGTGGTTTCGCCTATCCACGGTAGGTCTTGGAACCTTGGTACCATCTGTGGAAACGGGAAGTACCTTATGTGCAGATGTCTTGTCAGCAGGCAAATATAAGTAGATGCTGCCCATTGTTCTGTGTTAAAGATCCTGATGACCAGTGTGGTGCACTTCTGCTTCATAGTCATTCCCATGATGCTCTCCCTCAGTGTGTTTAATGTCATCACGGACAGTATTCTGACCAAAAGTGTGCCTTCCTCAGACACAGGTGAGACATCACATTGCGTTATTTAAATAGTTGCTTAGTAGGTTACAGGTGTACACTTTTATCCTTTTATTCAGATAATTTCAAGAATTAAAGTGTCGTTTCTGTCCTCCCAAGGAACAATGCTGGGTATGTGTGCCTCTGTGCAGTCTTTGCTCCGCACCATGGGACCAACAATTGGAGGATTTCTATACCAGACCTATGGAGTGGCTTCTTTTGGTTGCATCCAGTTTTGTGTCAACTTTTTAGTGTTCAGCTACCTCTTAAAAAGTAACACAATAAAAAATGAATAATAAACTAGGAAAGCACTTGATCTTGAAAGATGCCCAAAATTACAATGATACTTTGTCATTTTTCAATCACTTGATCATATACGCCTATTTGGTTAATTGGCTCTTTTTGTAGTTTGCATTACTTCTTATCCAGTACTGAATCACAGGCCTGGAGCCTGTCCCAGCTAGCAATGGGAACAAGACAGGAAACATGCTGGAGGGATACCAGTCCTATGCAGGGCACACATGCACACACACACACACGCACACACACGCACATGCACACACACACGCACACACACACATGCACACACGCACATGCACACACACACACACGCATATGCACACACACACACGCACACACACACACACACACAATATAAGCAAATTAGAAACACCATGTACTATGATAGTGATTGTATTGTTATATTACATGGGAGGATCTAAAGGTTTGTGTTATATTTTGCTGCAATGTAATGCCATTTTAATTAAACTGAAAAAATTATAATAATGATTTTAAATAACCATGATTTGTTCTTAATAGACCAATTCATTGAAGAGTATGATTTACTTGTCCATTAATGTTGTGTTTAATATTCCCAAATAAAATGAAAAATCTTATATAAAATGAGCACATTTTGAAAGAAATAAAAATGGCAGTTGTTACCCTGTTGCTATTCACTAAAGTAAAATGAAAAGCCACCATATTACCGTGGCTTTCCTCTATAAATTGCCTGCAAAGGGGAATTTGTTTTTCTTAGATATTTTCCTTTGTGTTCAATGAGATGTTTGCGTTGCATCGTGGTACAAAAACTCATTTGCCCGTCCCTGTTTCGATTATTCTTACTTTCATGCCGTGATTGTACCATATGCTTATAAATTGAGTATGTAAATGCAAATTGTCGTTGGGAAGAAGTGACCACTAAATGAGTAAATATACAGGTTAAATATTAAGCAATAAAAATGGTCGACCCATAGAATTACACAGCATAATTTTGTCTTTCACATGTTCCATTCACTTTGAAAGTTATATTTGTGAGGTATATATATTATTATTTTTCAGATCTAAGGTAATAAAGATACGAGTCATGTTGGTAGTCGTAAAAAGGTGCGATAAAAGGTGAGCGATGGTAACAAAGCGCCGGAACTGACAAGAGGAGAGAATCCAACCAGAATACTGGAGGCTTCAAGCTGTGCTTATTTTTCAATACATTTCAGACGTTAATCGCTATATTGAAAGTTATATAGTGAATATGTTGAAATAATGAACTTTAATAAGTCATTGACATTCTAATTAGAATAAGACAAAAGTATTCCATAACTAGACTTACATTTTGGAATAGCTAGTTAAATGTCAATGCCATTGTTAAGTACCTTATTTGCTGAGTACAATAAGCTAACCAGAACTAATTTTGCTGTAAACATAAACAAAATGTACGGTAAGATTAAAACAGAAGATGTTCCTGTGGAAACACAGGGAATTCGCACACATTTTCTGGTTGTTGCGATCTGTACGCTAGTGTTTATTTAAATAAATACTCAGTGAAATACAATAAGTTAAGCAACTTTGTTTCAGTAAATAAATATAAGGCCTATAACCGGCAATAAACGTTTTCAATAGAAAGCGCATTCAAACCCTAAGGCGCAACACTATAGCATTCAGTCTTTCATGTGATCATTCGCTTCTCATCAGAAGCGCCAGGTTCCTGCTGTTCTACGTGGACTTCTGCAATGCCTCAGATGTGTAGTCGTCTTCACTTGGTCCAGATGGAAGTTACCAATTCGTATTTCAATCTGCAGGGAAACAATCCATAATTGACAAGATGACGATGTAATGTAGGTTATACCGGAACGGTCATTGTTAACAAATATGGCAGGATAAACAACACCAGACCTTTTCTCACAGAAATATTGTATTACGTTTTTACTGATAAACCGATATATTTTTAGCTCAAAACGACGCTACTCAGAGTATTATAGCATGTACCGTAACGCTAGAAAACTGAGAATATACATCGACTGAAACTATTACGTTCATTAAAATCATACACTTACATTCTAAAGAAAACGTACGTTTCCTGCAATTTCCCAGCTCTGGGCTGGATTTCTCCTAAAGAGCCTTTGCCAGCTGCTCCTCCGGCTTCACAGGCGAAATGATCTGTGTCCCCTGTTGCGTTTTGAAGTCCTGAATGGCTCTTCTGTTCTGGAAGTCAATCAAGGCCATTGTGATGACAGCATTCCAACAGCTATCGTCACCTGAGCACCTAAAATCTATTTCTTTATTATCCGTGGTGACGATGGTGAAGTAGACAAATTTTCCTGTCCTTTCTACGCAGTCCAGTTTTTTGATTGATTGCAGTTTTAGCTCTTTGCTCTTGGACCTTTTCTGATTGTCATCGTACATACTGAGGCTGTCGGTGGTGAGGACGCACATCTTCCTTCTCCAGAGCTGAAAGAGGTTGTCGCTTCTTTTTTCCAGTAGTCCTTCTTTTAGAACCTTGGAAACCTCAGCTGCGGACATTTTCATGGTTATAATTTTTGAGCAGGATTGTTATACAGGACTCAATTTTTTAGTACACACGAGTTTAAAGCAAACCTTCCTTTAGGACTTGCTTAAGCGTGGCGTTTCTTGGTGAAAATGCAATAGTCCGATTCTGCAAGCCAATGCCTGTAACGAATTGCTTTGAGATGAACATTTTTATAGTCTACTTTCAACGCCCTTCCCACTCTATACGTCATTTGTAACTCATCAACAGTTGTTTCAGGATTAGCAGTCCAATACCCAAATAAATGCAGATAAATTGCTCAAAGGAGGGCTTCTTTGTCCTGGTACTTGCGACGAACACTGTACACTTTATTACACTTTAATTAAAGCATAACTCACGTATATACCATCTATACTGTGATGTAAATTGATATAGCCTAATTATTGATTGCGTAGAATAATGAAAACCGTTTTAAAAGATAACATTAGAATAAAACTCAACTTATACTCAGGTAACCTACAGTCTTACTGTTAAAAATCATTAAACAGTGGTATGCCACAGCTTTAGATTTAGGAATATATACGTACAATACAGAGCCAAATATAATACTGAAATAGAAGCAGAAATGTTTCTCAATTTACACTCGCCCTTTCACTATGATACGAATTCGGGACAGGAGGCCTTGCTTTTAACTTCATTGCTTAGCAATCAATTTAATAAATATCATAATATTTTTTCCCTCTTTCCACACCCTCGCACAAGCCGAATGAGACGAACACTATATGCTTCATAAGTACGCCGAATTAATTGAATGAAGCAGAGTGCCACCTACTGCCTGTACAACGTGTTGCCAAATGTTATATGTTTAATATCTGGGGTATAAAGAGTTCATAAAAGAGGAGAAAAAGTTTTACATGCTCACCAGCTACACTTCATCAGTATACTAGCTGTGAGTCATAAGGCACCTGATTTCAACACTTGCCTTGCGTCATGTGACCTAATACAGGCTGTGTTATAGGTGGTGGAGCAAGGTTGTTGGGATCTTTCAGCAATATCAGTACTACTGCGATTTAATAAGGATAACCGCTATGTTTCATAGCTTTCCCGCCTTCGTTTCTTAATTATCTCACATCTGACTGTCTATAACTGTATTTATATATCTTTGTTAATTCAATGTTACTCGGGTATAGTACAATTTGCAGTTAGATTTGCATTTTTTCGATTCATTCATTTTCTGTACCAGCTTGTTCTATCTATAGTCTATCCCGGAAGCTACGGGCACAAGGCAGAGAATAACCCAGGATGGGGCGCAGTGCATACACACCATTCACATACATTCACACCTACGGACAATGTGGCAACTGCAGTTCACCTTAGCGAGTTTTTGGAGTGAATTGCTTTATTCAATTCAGGTAACAGTTTGTAACAGTTCCCATTTACAGAGTATTGAGAAAGTATTCAATTCCCTTTTCCAGATTTTATGTTGTAGCCATACACTAAAATCATTTAAAATATTTTTTTTCTCTTCAAACTATGTTAAGGAACTCCAGAATGACAAAGCAAAAATAGCATTTTAGAATATTTTTTTTTAAACTGAAACATCACATTAATGTAAGTATTCAGACCCTTTCCTTGGTTGAAGCAACTTTTACAGGGATTACAGCCTCAAATCTTCTTGGCTATGATGCAACAAGTTTTATACTCATGGATTTGGTGACTTTCTGCCATTCATCTCTGCAGATCCTCTCACTTTCTGTCATTTTGGATGGGGATTGTCAGTGAACAGCTAGTTTCAAGTCTCTCTGGAGATGTTTGTTTGGATTTAAGCCAGGCTCTGGCTAGGCCACTCAAGGACATTCAGAGTGTTGCCATTCAGCAACTCCTGCATTGTTTTTGCTTTGTGATTTGCCCTGTTAGAAGATGAACCTTTGGCCTGGTCTGAGAAGGAGAGTGCTCTGAAGCAGGTTTTCATTAAGGATATCTTTGTACTTTCCCTTGACCCTGTCTTGTCTCCCAGTTCATGACACTGAAAAACACCCCTACAGCACGATGCCGTCGTCACCGTGCGTCACCACTGGGATGGTATTGCACAGGTGATGAGCTGTGTCTGATTTCCATCATACATGACACTAACAATTCAGGCCAAACAGTTCCATTTTGGTTTCATCAGACCAGGGAATCTTGTTTTTGCAAAACCCAAGTGGGCTTTCATCTGTCTTTTACTGATCGAGGCTTTCTCTGAGCCCAGATCAGTGGTATGTTGCAGTGATGGCTGTCCTTCTGGGGGTTTCTCCCATCTTCTTAAAGGATCTCTGGAGCACAGCAATAAGGTTTCTGGTCACCATTCTTACCAAGGCTCTTCTCCCCCGACTGCTGAGTTTGACTGGGCAGCCAGTACTAGGAAGGGTCTTGGTTGTTCCAGACTTCTTCATTTAAGAATTATGGAGGCCATTGTGCTTTTGGGAACCTTCAATGCTGCAGTTTTTTGTAGCCTTCCTTAGATCTGTGCCTCAACGCAATCTTGTTTCTGAGCTCTGCAGGCAATTCCTTTAGCCTCGTGGCTTGGCTATGGCTCTAATATAGATTGTCAACTGTTGGACCATTATATAGACAGTTCTGTACCTTTCCTTATCATGTCCAATTAATGAAATTAATCTCAAAGATGATCATTAGAAGTAGGATGCACCAGAGCTAAATTTCAATTGTGATAGGAAAAGGTCTATATCGATGGGATGTTTCATTTTTAAATAAATAAATACATTTGCAAAAAATATTGCTTATCGTTATGCGGTACTGAGTGAAGATTAATCAATTCACGATTGTAGGATAAGGCTGCATCATAACAAAGACAAAAAAGTGAAGCAATCCAAAAACTTTCTGAATGTACTGTACATATCTTAAGCCTTAAATCCGAAGCCGTAGAAACTCTTGGTTAATTTAAATAGTATTTTAGTAGTTGGGATTTTAAAAAAATTCTGCTTTGTTTTCACTAGAATGTTGCTATGTACATTGGTATTTGTCTTTTGTTTGGAAGGATCATGCCAAGTCCACGCCATGCTAAAGGTGATCCTCTTATAAGACATCATACCAGCTGGCCGGGAGATGGCAGGGAGATGAAGGACTTCCACATGCAGGTAGCATAGATTTGAGTCAGATTTTTAAACTTCCTTCCCAAATTCCAATTAATAAGGACAGAAATTATGGGTATTATTCAAAGTTTTGCACAATTCGGCACTTTCCCACCAACCAATGATCATAATTCTCTCTGGTAACCAGACTGCAAAATGATGTGTGCCTTGTTGCTAAGGGAAACAAAGTTGGCAGCCGGAATACAGGAGCATGAGTCAGAGGAGAGCTGTTTGCCGTCAGGGAGTGGCCTTTGAGATGGCAGTGTTTCCTGTTCTTCCATGCAGCCTTTCGAAAGGAACTTCTTCCTTGGACTGACTTTCAAATCCATCTTTGTCAGTGCTAGCAGCCACAGCCCAGTCCCATTACATCCTTCTGTCTCTAAGATTCTATTCATCCCTATGAAAACCGTAACTGAATGCATTTCAAAGAAATTGGAACAATTTGACAAAGAATCAAGGTCAAGACTACTAATACAATGCTGAGAGAGATTCTCCCGTTTCCTACTGATTCAGTGGTGATGCTCTGCGTGTGTCCTGCACGCTTTCTTTCATGGCACTCCTTACAAGGCAGCTCTGTTATTTGATATTAGGCAGTACTGCTGAGGCATAGATGCACAAGGAGATATTTGTTTTCTCTTTCAAAGTTGAATAAACTTCAGAGAGCACAGACAGATTATGCTGATAAATTAATAATCAGTTTTCTGATCAGTTTCGATTTCATAAAGGCATAGAGAGACTTGCGTGACTGTTTGTTCAATCATTAATTTATAAATTTGTTGTTTGTTTATTTATTATTATTAATATGAAAAAAATGAAACCATGGCTAACAAACCATTGCTTGGTCATTTTACTCATTGAAATTTGTAACTGAATTTCTAATTCAATCTTTAAACTGAAGATTCAACAAGATTCAAGATTCACAGGCCTAATAATCCGACAGACACCATAGGCAGCTGCCTAGGGCACTAACTTCTGTGGGTGTGCAGGCGCAGCTCGACACAAAGTGAAACTGGCTTGCTCACACGCTTTGCAGTACAGACATAAAATATCTATGTCAGGGGATCCCAATCTTATCGGCAAAGGGCCGGTGTGTATGCAGGTTTTTGGGATAACCTGTAGGTCAGCTGTTCAAACCCAGTTGTGAGGACTCTTCAGCCAATCAGTCCTCTAATTAGTAATCTAATTAGGGAGTTGCAGCGAAAACCCACATACAAACCGGCCCTTTGCGGATAAGATTGGGCACCCCTGACCTATGTGAAGTGGGGCGCCCCCTGCTGTTCCAGCACAGAACAGCTATGCGATGTAGGGTGCCCCTAGAACAGAGGTGTCAAACTGCAGTCCTGGAGGGCCGCAGCCCAGTATAGCTTAGTTCTTTCCCTATTCCACCACAAATGATTCAGCTCAACAGCTATGTGGTAATTAGCACAAGAAGTTGAATCAGGTGTGTTAAACGAGGGGAAACCCAAAAATGTGCAGGGCTCTGGCCCCCCCCCAGGACTGGAGTCTGACACCTGTGCCCTAGAACTACTCTGCTGTTCTGGCACACAATTAGATGGGGCGCCCCAAGGAATGATTGCGCGAAGAACAGCTACACAATGTGAGGCACCCCTATAAACACTCACTCCCCTTTGCTTTTCCAGCACAGAACAGCGGTGGGATGGAGGGTGTCCCTGTAAGTACTTGCGCTCCCTGCTGCCCCCTCAGATAACAGGTACAGATAACAGGTACATGTACAGGTACAGATAACAGGTACAGATAACAGGTACATGTACAGGTACAGGTACATGATTCAGGGCACCTCTAGAATTGCCAGTGCAGAACAGCCTCGCGATATAGGGGCCAACATGGCAGGCGATTTCACTGTCTCTGACAGTGGTGCCACGCTGTGGTGATTCGGCACACAGGGAACGGTGTCTTTGATGCTGTTAGGTAGGAACAGTGTGACCGAAAGACACTGAAAGTCAGATGATGACAAGAAGGAGACTGACTTTTCAAAATAACAGAAGATTGTTAATAGACCCATTAGACGATTTTTTAAAATCGCAGTTAATTGCAATTCGGGTATCAAAATGAACAAAGTTTAGGTTAACATGCTGAAAGACACAATAATGACTAATGACTTCAAAGCACCTCTTTTATAAAATTATATTATTATAAGTAATTATTTACTTACAAAATTTGTGTAATACTCATTTCATTATATACTACGTATCACATTATTCATTTATTGTTACACAAAACAGCAATTTTAAACAGAAAACTATCTTTCCTCAATCTTAAGGTTGGCTGACTTATTTTTGCATTCGCTGCAGATGGTGGGACAGTGTGGGGGGGGGGGGGTGTCATGGAGATGATGCTTGGCTAGGATGCCGCATGGGCTAGGAGCCACCCACCTGAAACAAGTTAGGATGACAAAACTGGCATCGCTATACCCACACCCGAAGAAGAACAAAACATTGTGTCATATTGTACTTTGATATAAAAATAATATATATCAAAATGTGTATCTTTTATCTCAAAATCCTGGGGTACAGTACAGTCCTTCATACAATGTAAGGAATTCCTTGTAATATTAATAATAGAATTTTTTAAGCTCGTTCTTTGTTTTGAATCATTTCTACTGCTGTTGAAATCATATTGATTTTGAACCAATAATATGCAGATGGTGAAAGTCTATAATTCTTGTGGTTTCCTTGTTATTGTTCCTACAATTCTATGACTCAAGTCATTTTAACTGCTCAGCTAAGTTGATCTTGCAAAACCTGACAGTCGATAATAGGCAAACGGAGTGACAAAGATTATGAAAACTGGAAACAGGTGACAATGCCTTAAGACATCATATTAAGGCAAATCACCCAGATATCACTGTCCTCAAAAGTGCCAGTTAGTTTGCCTCACCTGTATGCTCACACTCTCACTGGTTTACGTTTCTAAGCAGAGTTAAACTGGTATTGTTGTCACAGCCAATCAGCTTGCCAGAACCCTAGAAGTCCTATTTCTACAACCCAAAATATCCTCACAATACCTTGTTGAGGGATGGAGTGAAAGCCATGTGATGAGTATAGTAATAGTATAGTTACATTATAGTAATGATTCACTTTGATACAAGAAAGGGAACAGAAAAGAGTGTACCACTGCAAACAGCCTGGAAATCAACATTAGGGAAATTGCTGACACACATTTTCATCAGGAATTTGGAGAATAATCTTTCTACGTCCTGGGTTTCTTTCTGTTTGTTCAATTCCAAGTGACATTAAGAACAAGTATGATAGATGAAATAATAAATAAATAAACTTACTGAAGACATGTTAGGGATGTTGGTTTTGACCAAGGTTCTTGGTTATAACCTGATATAAATGATCAATTTGATCATTCTGAAGAATGAATATTGACAAAAAACTCAAATTCTATTGAAAAGTTTATGTAGAAACAAAAGTTTTTTTCCAACTTTTTTATTCTTAGTAAATATTTTTAAAAACTATGTCTTATCCTTTAATATTTTAAACTGTAAAGCAGGTAAACGTCAGCTAAAAAATTTAAAAAAATAAATTTTTTTAGTTTTCTTAGTCTGCTATAAACCACTTGTAAAGCTCCATTGTACCTGTGAATCTAGGTTGAAGTTCACTGGAGCTCTAAAGATGAGTGAACAGTACTGAGGCTACCACACCCTTATACATTTGTATCTATATTCAGCATAGAATAAGACCAACAAAAAAAATCCTGTTGGGACAGTACCTTGGAGAGGAGGAGCATCCTTCTTTCCCACAGATACTAATACACTGCTATTGACTCGCTTTGGTCCCACTAATTTATGCTCACTGGAAGAAAATTCCCATTCAGACACATCAACAACGCCAAGGTTCCAATATAATTGGTCAAATAAAGCTTTAACTCCTATCCAAAACAACTGATGTGCATTCTGATGAATGAATGCAAAATACCAATTAGTAATGATCCAACAAATATAGCTGACATTTTAATGCTTCTTTCAGAAAAAGAATTTCAATGACGGAGTTTCCCTGTGGATAAATAATAGTCCTTCAAGATGGTACTATGTCCTGCTTCCCAGAGTAGGCTCAGGATAACCATAACCAGATAGCGTATTCCTGAAATCAGAAGCATTGTCATCACTGACAAACAGCAGTCTTGTGGAGAATAAAATGCCACTTGAGTCTTTGGCAGAAAGATAACGTGTAAGAAATAGAGCTGTATTCAAAATGTATAACCTTTCTTAAGGGATCTTTTTTCACTTGTGCAATATACTAAATGAATTGGGAAACCTGAAATATATGGAGGAAAACTACAATTCAGGAATCATGAAGCAATAATGGGGACCAAACAGGTATTTAACGTTGCACAATTTTTAATAGAATATCCTAACTATTCTGTACAACCTGAAACACTGTATTGAGTAACTGCAGATCAGTGCAAGGAAACAGCTCATACTCTATCTATGTAGAAAGCCCCGGAGCTGGGTCTTGTGAGTCAGTCCCATTTAATAGTCAAAATATTGGAGAATCTTCATTAAATTTGCTTTTTTTGGTTAACTGCCCTTTTGGGACATGAAGGGGCATATCACTTTAATACCATCATCTGCATTCTACCACATTTACATTGTCAAAGTTTTTGAGCTTCAAATCACCCACAAAACTCCCCCAGTCACGCAAGTCCTCCTTCTGCATCAACACAACTGGTTAAACAAGACAGCTAACAACTTGCAGCCCTTTTTGTGGAGACTTAAAAACTTGAGGAAACAGCATAAGCCTTCTTTCCAGGTTATTCGAGTTCCCCTACATTGAATGTAACCTTGCTACACCACTATGGGCAACTTATGAAACGAGATAAAATTTGGGTTACTTCACTTAGCTTATTTTACCCATGAAAATTTGGCAACATGACAAAGATAATTTATTAGCAAGCTCACGGGTGTTAATGTAACAGCATCCAAGAGGAAGTATAACAGTGGCCGAAGTTAAAATGTGGCTGTATTTCACAATATAAGGCCCATCGGAAGGAGACCAGCCAGCTCCTCCTTCAAACAGAGCCCCCAAAGACCATCATACACAGTTCAAACCTGTTCAAAAGCAAACAAATATAAATACCTCATGAATAAGAGAAATGTGGTTTTTAAAAAGTGTCATTAGCAGATGAAAAACAATTTAAATAGGTAACCCCGAAGACATATAAAGATCTTGTCGACAGTATGTTAGATTTTTTAATACACTTTTTTTTGTTTTTCTTGGCATAAAAAACCCTGAGTAACCTATGTCAAGTCAATGGTTGGATTAGCTTATTACATCTTGGGTTGTCGAAATCTTCTAACAGGGCGTCTGGAATGTGGTGCTGATCACAGGGCTCTGGCTAATTCCATCGGAAGCTGTGGTTCGGAGTTTCTTTTGCATACGTTCACCCATGGCATAGACTGCAGCATCATCTTGCCTCACCCAATCGTAAGTTTATTTACAGCGTTTTATTACTATTTTTTGAGAAAATGTTTACTCTGTACAGGGGGCTGGGGGACTGGGGCAGAAAACGATCATGCACTTTTAAAAACACTTTGTTATATGTGTGTGTTAAATCTGATGGGGCAGATCCGCAGCATGGTGGTCGTTCTCTGCAGACTGAAACCACTGTCCAAATTAACACGGGCCATAGCGTGACAGCGGTGGGCTCCCCATATTACTGCTGCTTGCACTCAGCAGGTTGTGGATCTTCTTTCTGAGTACAAAAAGGAGGAGAGAAAAGATGGCAGTGAAAAGGGTTACCAGTACCATGCAGCTATTATGGAGCTCCTGGGTGGGGGGGGGGGGGGGGGTCGGCACAACAATTACAAATGGGCAGAGAAATAATAAGGTGTCACAAAGTTCAGCAAGGAAGCCGACACAGCCAGGGGCCTTAGCAACCTGAGTCATACTGCCTCCTGCCGCAGCTTGTCCTGTCCTGCCCTGCATTGACAAACACTGGCTGTTTGCCAGCGACAACAAGCTACATACTCTGGCCTGAATGGGAGCTAAAAAGAGCTCGTTTTGAGCCTACGACCATATTGCTGTGCTGCCAAGATTTATCCAGCGGCCATGCAGACACTGCCATAGGTGCCATGATGCTGAAAGATGAAGACCCCTTCCAGAAAATACTGGTCTTTTTTGACTACCACTTTAGAGGGACTTGAAAACTTCACATAACTGCAGTTTGCTGAAGACTTGCATAAAACAAGCAAGAGTGAGAAAATTACAGAAAAATGCTCATTTTGAATCTATAAGCCAAATGTCCATGACTCCAACTTAACATATACTGGAATCACTGGTATATGAGCTTCATTGTGTAACTATCACCACCGTCGCTCTGTCATTATTCAGACATGTTAGACACCACTAGCTTTATGAGAACCCAACTTCTGACAAAATCATATTGGGAGACCAATTCTCATTTCATTCATGCAGCAAGGGGTGATAAGACACTTGGGTGCAAGAGATCTGGGTTTGCTCCTTGTCCCAAACTGCAGCAAGAGTTCTTAAAAAAAAATATACAATTTCCAGACTTTTTACATTATAGCACATAAACCTATTCACCCGATGCATCAGAGCAGAGCGAGAGGAAGATGTGATGTCAGAGGTTTATAAACCAGCTCATACAGAAGGAGCAACAGGATTGTTAGGAGAACAACCATTTAAAAAGGTATAAGAATAGAGAGGGAAAGAAACAGCATCAAACCAAGGAGAAGATTAAGTGAGGATGAACCCACCTACTTTCCCCTTACCTAGAAATGCATGAAGTGAGTATGAATTATGCCTGTAATGGGGTAACGGGGTGGGGATAGGTAGGAAAAACAATGTCAATCATAATCAAACAGGATTAATTCCACTAATAAAAATGAGAGGAAAGCAGCCCCCTGATTCTCAATTATAATAAATTCAGAAAGCCTTGTGCAATCAGTTTCACATTAACAGGCTTTAGAATAAATCATGTGAAAGTTTTGTCTGAAAACAGGCTGAAATTTGAAAAGAAATTGATCATTTGGTCTCCCCCCTCAAAGCCCTCATTAAACCTTAAGACGGGAATTCCACCGAGAAATGAAGGATATTTTTGTCATAAACAGGAAATTTCAGACGCATTCCCAAAGAAATTTCCTTCCTATACCTTGAATAGATCTGCCGCCGTAGCATGAGAAATTCAGTATACCTGCATTGTATTTTTGCTAGAAGTCAGTAGAGAACAGTTTCATTTTCCAACACACAAATGCATGTGTCTTTCCTCTGTCAATTGTCAGTTTTACTTGAAAAATCAGTTCCTATGTATTAAACATTTACTTGAGTGAAGTTTTCAACACCCTTTTCAAAACTGATGCAAGCCTTAACAGGTCTTAAAAACAGGATGCCTGCTACCCAGCTTCAGATGACGGCAACGTTTTATCCAGCTGGAAATGACAGAACTTGTTATTGCTTATAATGGTCAAAAGCTCTCCACAGTCGTCAGACAGCCACACATGACCTCAATGCTTCATATGGACTTATCTCAACTCGACAGACTGGTATGTGTGATATTTATGCAATTACCATATGCTATTATATGGCATTTTGAAATTTAAATATTGTAAATTTAAACTAACCTTGGGGTCAAATTCTCCCTCGTCATCTTCATCACCATCTTCACCATGGTCCTATTGCACAGCAAGGGAATGCATTACCTACCCCCCCAATAAAGCCCAAATGCTCTTGTATAATTTCCATAACTTCCAAAACACAAACAGGAGAGGCGGCCCTCACCTCTTCTTCTCCTTCCTCAACTTCCTCCTCTTCAAACTGTAGAAAAACAAAAAAATGAAGGCACAGGACAAATTCTTCCTGACTGTGCATTTGACTAACAGGAATGGCAGCAAGTTGGACTTACACTCTCATCGTCCTCCAGTGCCTCTCCAGTGAAGTACAGCACCGCCCGGGGAACAACCCGCTCACGGAAGAAATGGCCAATCTCAAAATCTGCAGCCAGGGTGAACTCCGAGTCCTCATCCTGAGGAGAGAATGCAAACAGGCACAGATGCTAGCGTTAGCGTAACAGAACAAAAGCAGAAAAGCCAAAATCTCAATTAGTATAATAAAAGCCATCGATAACAAAAAAAAGACATGAAATAAGAATTATTTATAACTCACCATCTCTCCATCTGACGAAACTGAAAAACAAAAAGAACATGACTTTGTAATTCTTGTATAAAAATACAGCTACAAATAACAGGCATGCAAAACAGCCAGGTGTGTCACAATTTACACAGTTCACGAGTTCCTGAAAGGCACAGGCGAATAGCTGTTTATACAGCTATACACACCCGGATGTGACAACATGCTATGCAATTTAAGAACATGTGGTTTATACCAACCACTAGCTGTGCACATCTGCGACTCAACCACCATCAGGTCATCAAGCTCAGTTACCCAGATGACAAGCCTGACTGAAAGGAGCGAGACTGGGCAGAACCACAGCCCAGTGTGTGGCTGGCCTGACTGGAGGGGCCATGTAGCCCCACGGGGCTCAGCTTGAAATAATGGCTGCCGGGGGGGTATTGTGGAGTGCACTTTGCGTTACCAGACTCTTGTCATCGCAGGCCACCTAAGGGACTGTTAATGACAGTCACGCAGGGATCTCTGCAAGCCTTTCCCACAGTCAAGGTGCTGGACCTGCCACATTGTTTTCAGCATACAATACTGTTTAATATATAAAGCAGGATTTCTTCAAAATCAATGCTTGATTTCCATTTTTGCACCCACCAAAAAAAACCCACCACCAAACCGAAATACCCATTTTCAAAGAAACACTGTTGATACGGTGTCAACTACACAAAAAAGTTAGAACTAATAAGACAAGAACTCTCATTTCTGTCCAATGATATGAACTGCTTCAAAATAGTCTTTGTACTTAAAATGGTTTCAAACAGACTTCACCACTAAATCATTCTGCAGCACTATCTCAAGATAACATCAAACAAGACAGGCAAACACGGTGTCAAAAACTGCAAGTCACTGCTGACACAAACAACCAGCGTCAAACCTTGGAGCACTACTGCCACCTGTTGCTCACGATAAAAAACTGCAGTGACGGTAGCATAACAAATCCTGCATTAGCATAGCATAGCATAGCATAGCAGATCCATAACATGTTGTGGTCCTGGCTTACGAGCCACGCCCACAGCAGCCTGATCTGTTAGATTCAGGCCCTCCTGCTTTTCCGAGGTCAGGCCGGTGGACTGTTACCTTTGATGGGCTTAAAGAAGTTGAAGAAGGAGTCATTGGGCACTTGCTTGGTGATGGTTCTCACTGTACCCCGTCCCTTATGCTTCTGCTTTTTCTTTATTGTTTTCACTGTTACGTCTTTGCCTTTATTCCAGTTTATTTCACAGCTTGAAAAGGGACATAGTAAAAGATGTTAATACGTATTATTCTCTTTATTATGTTTTAACAATAAAACAAAAAAACTCTTTTCAGGAGAGCCTGAAGTCTAGATGCCCAACCCGTTTTTCCAGTCAGGCCTATTTCCACTGCTGCAGGCTTGTACTGCATACAAGCTTATGCTGTACTCAGTCTTCATCGGATGCTAATCAGACATTTTGTAGTGAAATTAAGCTTCTACAACTGCTAAAGTACTCTAATGGAGAGCCGATGATTATGCTTATCTGTTTTATGAAGTTTATCTGATATTATTTCTCAGTGGGTAGCTGCTGCCTCATATCCCCAGGTTTAGGAGGGGCTGAATCCCATCTCTACCGTGCGTGTGAAGTCTACACATTTTCCCAATGCTGTGTGGCTCACTCTTCCTATTGCACTGTAGTATGGAGGAGGGACAAAGGTAGGAATCCCTGCTACGAGGACACAGCGACGTTTGCTCAGGATTGCTGTCTCCTGCAGCCCATCTCTCACCCCTCACAGTCCACTATTTCTGGCCCTTCAAAGGAGAAGGGATCGGCCTGGTCCGGCTCCGACTTCATTTTGTACACCTTGGTCAGCACTGTATTGGTAAAGTAGCTGTTTGGCTCAAAGTGGAACTCTAACGTGAAACTCTGAGGAAGAGGAGGGAAAAGTCACAGGGTTAGAAATGCCACAAAAAGCATGAATCCGAACACACAGGACATGTTTTCTGGGTCAATCCCACTAACCATAGGCTGTCCGGGCTCTGAGAATTTGACTTTGATGTCTTGCAAGTGTTTCAGGATGGGTTCATCATGCTCCTACAAAAAAAAAAGAGGCAAGGCAGGAACAGACAAGGGCGATATGGATTAACCACTGACAGATCGTAGGGTGAAGCAGAAAGCCCAGGAACAAAAGAGTAAAGTTCCTTTGACTAAGAGACAAGAGTGGAAGGAAATTCAGTGCTTTAAAGAGCATCGCTGGCTACATTATATGTAGGATATAGTTCCCTTATATAAATCCTAGACGTATAGCATGACTAGAACAGCCTAAAGTACCAGAAAAGGAACTGGACTTGTGTACAGCCCCTAAAGGCGCCCCTGTTCTACCCTTCAGCAAAGCGCTTAACCTGAACTGCTCAGGTAAAATTTCTCCAGCACTAAAAATGAGTGAAATGTGAAACTGAAAGGTCATTTTACATAAAAGCCTCTAGCAAAGCCACTAACTGTTATGTGGCTTTGAATGTTTTAGCTTGGGGAGAGAGCACACAGTGTACTAATGCACAGTCCCACACTCGCCCTTCGCTCCCCCCCCCCAGAGCCCCAGGGTGCTCCCACCTGCAGCATGTCGCTGAGCATGTCTACGCTTCTGAAGATGGTGAGCCAGAACTCTGGGATGCCCTTAGGGTCTTCCTCGGGAGCCCCCTCCTCTTTCGCCTCCTCCACGCAGGCCTTTTTCTTCAGCTCCTCCTGCAAGCACAGCATTGGAGGCACAAGCTTGGCACTTGCAGTTTAGAAACCATCTTCGTGGTGAAGATGCTGGGCTTCGTTAAAGTAAATGGTAAATGGACTGCATTTATATAGCGCTCTTCTACTCCTACGAGTACTCAAAGCACTTTACAACACATGCCTCACATTCACCCATCCATACCACACATTCACACACCAGTGGCGAAGGCTGCCATGCAAGGCGCCAACCTGCACACCGGGAGCAATTTGGGGTTCAGTGTCTTACTCAAGGACACTTTGATGGGGTCAGGAGGAACCAGCATCATAGTATGGTTCCTAGTAGCTGAAGTTGCCGCATACTCTAACCAGATTACTGGTCTGTTTCTCTTACATTATGATAATAGTAATATGAAGGAATCAAAGCTCAGAATCTCACATCAATGAATACTGTATGAGGACTACAAAAAAAAACACATAAGTGTACAGTTCTGAACAAAACATGACTGAACGCTCAGCTCTGTGGGGCCGCAGACGCCGCTAAAGCTGCTAACCCAGACCTAACACATTATTTTACAGTCTACTTACAGACAGCTCCTCCTCCTCTTCTCTGTCGCTGTGCCACTCGCACTCCTCGTCTGTAGGTTCAACTGTGCCAGTTACCACATCTCTTCTCTGCAAGGAACACACACACACACGCACGCACGCACACACACACACACACACACACACACACCAAGTCATTGAAAAACAAGCCAAAATCTCTCATACCCATTTAAAGGCAAGCCCTGCCAGGCTGTACCCTTCATTAATGATAACAGAGAGACTTCCAGAAGACTCAAAGCAGGGGGTTATTTGCTCATACCCTGGGGACAGTGACCAACTCTGCTGCAACAGAACCCTACCTTGTCAAAGAGGGGCTGATAGAGGGTGGCATACTTTCTCTCCAGCTCGTGGACCTCCTCATAGAATTTGGCTTCTATGTGAGCACACTGCACCTGCAGCTGCTTTAAGGCATTGACTCTTCTCTTCACAGACTTGGGTAAGCTGAAGAGGGAGAAGGTAGCAGACAGAAATGAAACTGGTCTGTCCAGCCAATCTGTCCCGGACGGTTTGACCTGTCCAGCAGAAATCTGCCTGCTTCACAATGGGAAAGTACCGCTCTGTTGTTCATTCTGGCTGATCGGCATCATTCTGAAGCAAGCTGACTGTTTAAAGAGGTGTGACAGAGCTAAACTGAGGAGTACTGGTGATTCAGCACAAAACATAATCTGTCAAAGACACTGTCCCCATTCCCCATTCCTTACCTCTCAAGGATGGTGCATGGAGTGTGAGGCACACTGTCAACTTTGTCTTGACCAGCTGGCAAGGCCTGAGATCCAACCTTACCTGTTACAGATGTAGCAGAATCTACTCATAACCACACACATCAAAAACACTCACAACAAACATAGTATTTTAATCACTGCAATAAGAAAATCATTCAGAGAAGTTCCTTGGCACAAGAAATTGATATAATTCTGATTGTGACTAGCTGTAAACAGTTAAATGTAAAAATACTAGGCAACAACCTTGGTTTATGCAGTCTGGTCAGCAGCGTTTAATATGCCACAGCTTTTGTTCACAAACGCATGTTCTATATCTGATAAAGCAGTAGTCAAATGACAAATAGTGCACCAAACCATATATACTTCCATACTAGAAGTACAGCATGAAATGAATATCCTGAAACAGTGCTTTCATTTTATTTTGCCCTGTATGATAGTGACACCACATAACTCTTGATTACAAAGCTTGTATAAACTGCAAAACAGGAAACTTGAAAAGCAACATCCCTGTAAAAAAAATCCCTGTTTATCCACTCTTTCAACAGCTTTAACCATCATCATGACAAAATACAAATAAATCTTCATAAAATTGTCAAATCACCTATTGAGCTTCCACCAAATCTCCAACAACATTCTGTGAACTCCCTGACATTTTTAGCAAGCTTTAAAAAAATGCAAATCTTGGGTATTTGAAATTCTGGTTAAACAAGTGTGCACATAAAACTATACTCTCAAATGGCTGACACCATAACATTCTCTCATAATGACAGAGAAGTTAGGATGAATGTGACCTTTAACCTTTTAAATGTCATCTTATCCGACTAGCCATGTCATCTGTCCTTTGCTTTGTAACATATCAGGTTAAATATGGCACTGATAAAAATGTACTTATTCACCTCACTTAAGCCCGCGTACTATAACGTTATAAAAGAGCTGAAGTTTTGCAATATGCAAGTTCACACTTGCAAGAATGTGCGGCAATTTGAATGCCAACAGTACCATAACACTGTGCATATTATTCTGCATTTCCATTTCTTGTATTTATCACACAATCAAAGAAATATAAAAGAAAATTAGAAACCGGTTTCTTTAAACTTTTTCATAGGCAGTTTACCTCTGGATTCATTCTTGTCCGCCTCCATTGTTAATTCTGCCCCGTAATCTGCCATTAAGAGACATTTTTTTTAGTTACACCGCACACTTCAACATAAGTAAATAATCAAATAATTTTAGGTAGTACTATATTTAGCCAAATTAAATCGTTCGGTACTGGTAACGAAGAGCGGTGAACTGCGGCGTGCAGAAACAGCGATAACGACCATCCCGGTACACGAGTGGGAGTTTGCAGAAAAGCAGCTGTCAAAGCATTCAGATACATCAGCATTTACCAATGAAAGTTAATATCTCGAATTTTAAATGTGAGTTGCTCGCTATGAATTTAGATAAAGGCAGCTAAATCCAGGTAATTTTCACGCATCCATCTGAAAAGCTTCGAAAACATAACCGACGCGTAACTAGTTCTTAGGTGGAAATTAAGAGTCAACTTAAAGAAAAACGCCGAAATAATTTCTCTTTTGCTTGTCGACCAGCTATTTTCAGACCTACATAAGCATTAGCAGTGGAAGATATAGACGTGGCTGTGCTTATGGACACTGACAGGCCGGCGGACCGGCCATACTACGAGCAGGCGGTCGCGCCGTATGTGCGACACTGACCGTGAAAAAGCATCGTCCCTAGCCTCCCGGGGACTGCAGTCCGGTGACGCATCCCGGGCTAACTAGCCGCTGCGCTATGTTGTCACTGACGAGCAGAGGAGGCGAAGAATGTAAGCAAATCACGTAGAAAACAGGAGTGGGGGCACTTTAAAATGCCAGTCGCTTTAAGCACATGGCAGTTTATAAGCTATTCTGCTTGTCCGCACGAGCGCATTTTGGGCGGCGCCACAATACCCGCACTCGGGTGATATTAGCTCGACTGGAATAGCCCTGGAGCCTACTAAATTTATTCAGCTCACCGACTCCAAAATCTATGTGTGTGTATATATATGTATATAGCGGCACTTTGTTTTGGCTTAACGCTGACGGCAACAGGCACCCCTCCTTGCGAGTTTTTGACATCACCCAGCTTAGCTATCGGGCAAATGTCACCACATGTTGGGCTAACTTTTTGAGCCTGGTAGCCGAACTACGCTTTGTGAACAGAGAAATGGATTAAAAAAACATATACATATATCAATCGCTGTCACAATTAGCAGTTTGTTTATTTTGAATACGAACACATTTTTCATCCACATATAAGTAATAATGATTCATTTATTTCTACATCTTACCTCCCAGCGCGACTCCTATGCTGGTTTCACGCTTTATGCCGCAACTAGAGCTCGGTACATCGCAGTAATCCTACAGCTCATTGGCTGAAACACAGTTAGGCCCGCCCCAGAGAAGCCGAGTGATACTAAATAATATGCTACATAATTGGTTCCTGTAATTGACCGTTCACCTTTGTAACTGTACTGCTTACATTTATAGTTATGTATGCTGCTTATCAGCTGGTGTGCTGCAAGGACGAATCATAGACTACGAAACATGACACTTTTGTGTCACTGATTTGTTGAAATGAAGATAGTCAACTCAACTGTAGTAATAAACGCGAAGCGAAAATATATTCTTTTTTTCTTTTCCTGACCTTAAACTCCTCTTAATGTCCTATGCCTATATATATGTTATAGTCAATATGACATGAAGAAGTAGGTTTTAAATAGGATCTTGCACAACGAATCGAGTTTGCCTCTTTAAAAGTATAATAGTACAATGCACACACATTGTAGACAATCTACATGGGTATAATAAACTAAACTAAAGGTCCAATAGGGTCAAAAAGCAAACGGGGGCTCTAGTAATAGTATTCATTTCTAGGCTTTCTTGAAATGCAGTTTCTGACAGATGCTTTAAGATCCAAAAGCCTGAAACTGCTGGAAGTGATGTCACCATGAAGCTTTTATATGTCCTCAAGAAGAGTAACTCAAAACAAGTCTTACAATAAACAAGTGCAACAGGATTCCCCCTTTTATAATGTGAAAGGATCCAGCTGAATTGCCTTACTGGATGAATGCTGGTCAATATTTAATGACTCTGTCCGTACCCTGAGTCAGAGTTCTCTTTTCCTGGCCGTATCCCCTTTGCTTTGCAGTTCCAACATGTGTTTTCTATCGAGCAGCCAGCAGATCACCTTACCTCAATGGAAAAAAGGATGAGATGAAAGACCACTGTTATTACCAGAGCATGCTGCCCTGGTGAATAGGCGAGTGTTTTATGTTTAATGAGCAGGGACATCCAGATTTTTCCTTCTTCCTTTCCTCCATCTCCTCCTGCAGGACCTTCCTGTACACCAGCTCAGCCGCTGCCAGAAAGGCGAGAACAGATATAGGAAACAAACTAGAAAATACCTGATTTCTGACATTAAAAACAGATGAGCCTTGTGTGAATGAATGGAGACTCAAAATATGCAATACATTCCAAGTATCAATCAACTAAAGCCAAGTTCCTGCGATGTTACAAAAGGCATGCAGTCCATGTACAATATTCTAAGCCATTTTATTCAAATATTTTTGAGAGTGAATCGGGGACATTATCTTTTTATGACTATTTCTGAGCTCAATCACTTTGTGGGACACAGTGGGTTCGGTTGCTGTACTTTTCAGCAAAGGGTTGCTGGCTCAGATCCTGGGGTTGCGAGATTGATTTCATCATTGTGTACTCAAGCAAGGAAGACCTCAAAACTTAGCAAAAGAAAAGAAAGAAGTTTCTTTCAACAAAGCACCACAGAAGGAGACAAGTGGAGACAAAATTAGACCCCAATCTGATTACATAGGTTAAAAAAAATGCCAGTCCTTAGCAATCATAGTTGCTCTTCTGCAATATGTATTGGCAACCCCCCCCCCCCCCCCCCAAGGGGGTCACTCAATTGGTGAACGAGGCACAGAGGGGCTGCTCTCAAGAATTATTGACTCTGTATTCAGTGGCATGGGTGCCATCACTGGGTGACTGATTTTAAAGACCTTACCTTGTGTCATCATCAATAAAAAACAAATCAAACAGCTTATGCTTGCAGTAAAGGATTGCCAGGATCAGTTTGCATGAGATGGCAATAAGTGAACATTTTTGCCTTAACAATCCTTGAGGCCCGGAAATCTCAAGCAGGTGTCTTGCTTTGTGTGATTCAGTTGTATAACCTAATTCACTGTAAGATTTTCAAAGTACTAAATGCATTTTAGATACAATTCACATTCTCAGTGTTTAGTTTGCCCTTCTCTCTAATGCCTCTAAATGAGAGAAGGAGACCCAGTCCTGCATGGTTATTTTATTTTAAATATTTGTACATTTAAAGCAGGGTGGCCAATCTTATCTGTAAGGCCCAGTTGTTCAAAAAGTTTAATCTGGATCAGAATGATCCAGATCTTGAAATCCATTGATTTGGCATCCAGGATCACATAATCCATCTTACTTTTGTCCCGGTTTTCAAAGCAAAATTGGATTGGATCAAAGTTATCCCAGTTCTACTAAAAAGGTTTTGAACAATGCAAACCGAGGGTTTGATCCAGATTAAAACCAAGATTGGATTACGTGATCTAATCTGATTTCAGAATCAGTTTTTAGTTTTGAACAACCCATTTTCACGGTTTGATCCAATCCATTATCCAAAATCTGATCAGATTACTTTTGAACAACTGGGCCCATAGGGCCGGTGTGTATGCAGGTTTGTGGGGTAACCTTATGGTCAGTTGTTCAAACCCAGGTGTGAGGACTCTTCAACCAGTCAGTCCTCTATTTAGTAATCTAATTAGGGAGTTACAGCGAATAACCCGGATAAACAATGGCCCTTTCTAGATAAGATTGGCCACCACTGAATTAATGTGTTTTCTCCATAACAAATTCAACTTACCGTACTTCAGTGCGAGTGGACAGGAATTGTCCACCAGAGGGAGTTCTATAACAATTCATGATCTTTTAATGCATCATAGAGGAACATTTTGATACATCAATCAGCATATTGATTTCAAATAATAATAAAAAAGTTTAATTCCCTCATTTAACATTGACTCTATCATCAAGTTACACAAACCTTTTTAACATTTTAACGGATCAGTGAAGGACATCTGAGTGAGCTGAAGCTCAATATATATAATGAAAACAAGGAATAAACCTTTGCTTCTAACGATCAGTGTCCTAGTGCTGGATTTAAATGATAAATCAGGAATGTTAATGCCGTGGCAAGGGAAGTTCACTTATACATACCCTGAATACAAAACTAGCATCTCGCAGGGCAAGGTCAGAATGCATAGACACCATAGAGAGGCTGCTAGATATACCCGTAGAATTTTTCTATCCCTTCATGTGAGCAGGCAGCTTTGTTGCTTTCACAGTAAACTGTAGCACTTATCTAACAGTTCTGGGGTCACAAGGAACTGCATAAGGAACTGTGATCAGTGCGACATCTGCTGGAAAAGGTTATATTTAAGGGCAGAGGAAACTGACACTTACTGAGTAGGCTTGTAGCCAGAAATGAAGAGGAGTCCAACAAATTTCAAAGGGGGTTCAAATCCGTAATTTTACTATGTGCCTGATACTGAGGTGAGAACATTACACGTTACTGTGATGTGATAACGCTTAATGTCACCTGGATCTACAATTATGACATTATGATGATGATGATAATGATGATGATGATGATAGTGAAGATACTTTTGCAATACTTACAGGGTCTATGAAAGGAAGAATCCAACAATGCGATGATCAGGACTCCCCCCCCGGCCTTGGGCCCTGTGCTAGCTGGGATAGGCTCCAGGCCCCTCACAACCAAGACAGGTGATTAGAAGAAGGATGGATGGATGGATGATGGATGTGTGGCTAGACATGTAGCTAAATTGTAACATTAAGTTGTATGCTACCTTCAGCCAGATCCTTGGATGGCCTGTCCAGACGTTTCCCTGCTAACCAGCATCTTTAAACCATGCTGAGGCTTAATAGCCTTGGTCAAGGCTACCTTACGCTTGCACCGAGCGGCACAGGCGGGGGCAAAGCTAGAAATGCTTGGCCTCCTGACAAAGTGTCAGCATGGGGCTGTGGCTTGGCACTTTCAAATAGAAGAAATACAGGTCCCTCTCAGTAGATTTTGCCCAGTGAGGAGGACCTGACGGTATATTTTTGGGCCTGTATGAAGAGCTGGGCCCCCTGAACTTCCCAGGGCATCCATGCTGTTTCAGTGAGTGGCTCAATGGGCTAAGTCTTCATGCCAGATCAGAAGACTGCCGGTTTGAGCCCTGGCCTTGGTAAAACAGTTACATGTCTGTGGGCATTTCAGCAAGGCCCTTAACCCCCAGCTTTCGGGGTGCTGCGCTTTGGCTGACCCTGTGCTGTGACCCCCAAGTTATGGGGAGCAAGTTGGGGTCAGCAAAGAGAAACATTCCAATGTACCTGTACTTGTGCAAATGGGAAAAAAGGCATGTTTGTTGCCTTTTAGCATAGGGCAGTGGGCAGGGGAACAGCCAGTCCATCACAGGGCATATAAACCCACACATCATTACACTCTATGGGCAATTGAGAGATGCCAATTACCCTAACATGTCTTTGGACTATTGGATGAAGTGTGTGTGAGAGTGTGACACAAGAAGAAGGCACAGACCAGACACACACACACACACACACACACACACACAAAATCGGAGTCCAGACTCAAGCCCCTGACAGTGGAGGGGTGAAGCCAAAATGAACCCACTCAGCCACTCTTAAAAAATATTTTTATAAAGGGAATCAGTCTAAAATACACGGTAAGTTTTGACTTAAAGGAATTACATTTAAAGACATATTCTTGCCTTGATGATCAATTGGTCATAAACATAACCTGACTTTTCATCAAGTTTATATATTTCAGACTCTTGATATGTCAGACTGAAATGACAAAATGTTTGATACACAAAAAATTCATTTGCCTAAGGTTTCTAGAATTTAGATTTAGGATTTCAGTTAATATGTATTTAATATATATATTTTTAAAGATTCTCCTTATCTTAAATCCAGTCATCATTTAGTGGGAAGATTTCACTATCATAATTATTATTATTAGATTCCAATATTTCACTAGCAGGCTGGAATAATGATAAAGCAAAAAACTTCGATACAAGAATTTTCAATTCTGCACAAGTAGGCCCACAGTGTCAGAATACAGGCATATCCATTTGTGATAATATTTGAAAATTTAGGACAATGCCAATGCCAAATCTAGCCAACACAACGCTTGTGAGCAACTGTAAGACATTTTTGTACCGTTATTATATCTTATTAGTATTTAATCTATTTAACACCAATGTCTGGAATTGTGTCCGAGGTGCTGGGAGTTCCCCGGTGGGCAGTCCGATCATGACGTAAAAAAAATCAACCGGCGGGTGGGGATTGGGGCGGTAAAAGTTTTAAATAGGGGGTGGAGGTGGTGATGGTGAAAGTCGTCAAACTGAATGTTGCATGATAGCACTTTTAAGGGTGGCTCACCAAGTGCATATTTCTTCACTTAAAGGGGGTTCCTGAGCTCTTTTTGGGTCCCTGTCAATTCGGACTCCTGCATCCACCGTACTTTGTTGCAGTCGATCGGTATGTATTATTAATGTTATTCCCCCTGCGAGAAATAGGGGCGCTATTTCATAGGAAAAGAATAAGAGCTCTCTTAATTCCTTCGATATCAACGTGTTAATTCTATGTTATCTTTTTCATCCAAGTTTACGACTATGTGCCTCCGTAATAATTTATTTATCCAGGTGTCTCTCGTTGTGTGTCTATCTGTGTGTATTTTATTTCTCGTATAAGCAAAAATTATCCCAGGAAGCGGTTCAGGATAGATTTGGGCTTACTATTCAACCGTCAAGAATGAACATAAGAACGACATACAATAAAAAAAAATGTAAAAAGTGAATAGGTGGATGGATGAATGAATAAATGAATGAATGACTGAATGAATGAATGAATGAATGAAATGCCTTTAGGCCTATAATGCCCACAAACTCTTTGTCTTAAAATACACAGCATAACTTTTATATACGGCTACAGCAGAACTATTAACCACGTGGATAATTAAGTGTAATTATAATTACTCGCGTAATGTAACTGAACAAGATTCACTGAAGCGGCCATAATAAAATATCAAAATAATAGGATAAATGGCTGACGGGCCGCGTCAGTTTATTTTCTATGTTTCTTTACATTCTGATTTTTAACTACATTAAAGCAATTTGTTTTCGTATTTTGCTTAGTGTGTGATGTTCTTACTGATTTAACTTCTAAATTAGTTTTCCAGAAATAATTACATAACCAGGTTGTACAATGACAAACTTATTTGTGTAATCGAATCTCCTCATTCCACGTACGTTGACCTCACCTAAAAGCCAGATTTATTTCAAGACAAAGAGATGTTTGGGAAAAGTAAATCTGAAATCAGGTATGACACAGAAACAACCCGAACCACATGGCTATATGTCGCCGGCGCTCTATGAATGTATTTCTAAGCAATATAGCATGCAGCTTTCATGCTATTCAGAGGGGCTCAAAGAGCGTGCGCAAGGGACAAAGAGGAGGGGAAGGTAAGGGGCGGGTTTTGCTATATAATACTCCACACGGAGAACTGTAGCCTGTCGTCTGATCTTGGGACCGTTTCACGTAACATCTTTATTGCCGCAACATCTGGGGAAGTAATTAATTTGCAACTTCAATACCAAATACAATAACATATACGGCGCGATTCAGGCATGGAAAACCTGCTACGACAGCGCTACTGTTTTCTCTGTCACACCTGCTTAAGAACTGAAAAAAGGACGAAGGTAATCTTTAAAATCATATATTCTCCACAGCCCTGCATACAGTGATTGTTTAACTGTGCAAAAAAAGGCTGGACTAGTTTTTAACAACGTTAAAATGGCAAGTGCTATTGTATCATAAATGCCATTGTCAATTTTGTAGATTAGTGCAAGACGAATGCATTTTAGACTTTTAGGAAATAAGAGCGAAATCTTTGTCATTTACTGAATCAGTTGTCAGTGATAATGGCTCAGCTTCACAACAGTGTAACGTAAAACATTTTATTCAAGTCTCGGAGCGTTCTGGTTTGAATTTTGGATGAACTTCTTCGTAGGACATCTTTAAATATCACAAGGGGGCGATATCACTGCGATTAATCATACAGAAATAGGGAACTCTGTAGAGGAAAATTAAATTGGAAGGGGCAAGTGGGATTAACACAATTAGCCGTTTCCTAAAACTTTCTCAGAAAGTCCGACTTAAATACACGCAATAATCTGTATGTATGTACGTTAATAAAATAAATGGAAGGAATTGATTTAGTGGGGATTCACTTTTGGGGACCTGCCACCGGTGCTTTGTAAATATATGACTTGAGTGCTTTGTGTCAGTTTTCGCATTTGCTTCACTTAAGTACCGTTTTCCCTCCTCAGATCGGAAAGATGCACCCGTTGAAGGTACTTCAGATGATTACCATTGCATTCTCCTTATTCGTCCAGTCGGTTTCGTCTGAGACTCTGTGCGGCGGGGAGCTGGTGGACGCGCTGCAGTTCGTGTGTGGCAGCCGGGGCTTTTATTTTAGTAAGTAATCAATTAAAAAAAACTTAAAGTTATTAGAAGCTCAATTTAAAATGTGTTTTATCTTTGTTTTCTAGGAAAATTGGTCTGTTGTTCTACATTACTTCTGACTACCTAGTCATAGTAGTTTTTTTGGGGGGGCGGGTGGTTACAGCCAGATTACGACTGAAAAAGGCAAGAGGTACTCAAGAATATATTTGCTAATCACCTGCTACATATCTTGAGGTTGTGCACACACAGGCACCCTACGGTTGCTCTCTCGTCCAAATGTGTGCGGGAGAAATGAGGACTAGGCTACAAAATTACAGTTTAAACCGAGTTTGAGGGTATTTTTGGCAAGGTAGAGTAATACTACCTAGTTGGGATTTCGTTTAAAAAATCTTATATAAAAACTGATTTAAACAAACCTCAATGACAATAATAATGTATGCTGGTGAATAATTGTTTTTATATGCGTGACTCCCATGGTAAGCAACATTATAATTGAATACCATTATGAATAAACAAGCAGTGAGAAGCACTGGTCCATGTCATGACGTTGAGGTTATACCTACTTCAGTTCATCTGGTTTAAAATAAGAGCCTGCGCTGAGCTTGGCAGCCTGCATGGCCTCATTCCTGCACTTTCACTGCACAGAATGGGCCAAAATGTGCCACACTGGGCCAATTTTTTTCTCCGCATGTTGATTTTTAAGTGTCAGATTTGCTAGTTTTGTTCCCTTCTGTTGAATTTACGTGTCATATGGGGCCAGTTTTATCTCCTCGTGCTGAATGTAAGTGTCAGATGTGCCAGTTTCGTCCCCTTCTGTGACAGCGGCAGGCCGTCGTCCCACGTCTGAGCCATTTAATTCTCCTGCTGAAGTATCTTCTGTTTGCTGCAGAATGTTGGGTACATTAATGATCGCTGATGGGGCCGCAATGAGGGCTCTTCAGAGTGTTTTTCGAAGGTGTCCAGCTCTTTACCTGTCCCTCCGCCCTTCCCCCCCCTCTCTCTTTTATTTTTGGTTTCTCCCATCATTGTAAGAAGCCTGCGCAACTCCCCCATTAGCATAATTATCTCTCTTATCTTTGCTGAGTTTACAATGGGCAAGGTCAAAGCACAGCCTCTCTGTTATTTACTTGCCCTCAGTCACCGGACAGTCCTGTCTTGTGGTCACCTTGCACATGGCTTTCGCCTAATCTCACGAAACCAGGTGATATGTTGCAGCCCCATTACCATAATGTACGGAGGTAAAATAAACAGATATTCATCCATCCATCCATCTATCCATCATGCAGCTGCATATTAGACACAGGGCAGTGGTGACCCTGGTGGCTGTCCCACTAATCAGGGCACCAGGTTCGCCATGCAAGTTCATCAGCAGATGTGCTTCTGATATCGTCCCACGAAGTGACACTTCTTTCCTCAGGTAGACCAACCAGCCGGTTCAACAGCCGGCGGACGCAGAACGGCATTGTGGAGGAGTGCTGCTTTAAAAGCTGCAGCCTGCGTCTGCTGGAGCAGTACTGCGCAAAGCCGTCCAAGTCCGAGCGGGATGTGTCCGCCACCGCCCTCCCCGCCGTGACAGCCCTGCCTGTGATAAACAAGGTACAGTGTGTGACGGCTCCAGGTCGATCGCCGTGAGAAACGGCACCCTGGGCCACCCCTATCTTCACAGCCATCAGCATCACTCTCGCCTCTGTTTACGCGGAGCCCAGCCAATGCAGGAGTCACGGGGTTGGGAAAAAAAAAAAGATTTTTATCTAGCTGAATTACTAGTGGTAAGCAAATACTGTTTTTTTTTTTCCCCCTCAAGCTGCTGACCAAAACGGAAAATAACATGTTATGTTATGTTATGTTATGTTATGGAGGGGGTCAACTGCAGGTGTCTCTAGATGAGTAATCATAAGAACAATATAAAGTACTGATTTCTGAAGGCCTGGAGACTGATTTTAATTGATTCAATTGGAAGTAAACTGACAATTTAAAAGGCTCCTTTTCTGTCACAGAGTTCGTTTACAATTTCCCAAAACAATTTTGAGCAAATGTGACACTTTCAAAACCTTATTTGCAGTCAGGGGAAAAAAGTATTGCATTTAAGCATGAATATTTTTCATTTGACACATAAAAGCCCATAACTGTGTTATTTAAACACAAAATTTGTGCAGCATTCTATGAAGAAAGACTAACATGCTCTTGGCATGGGGACGTTAAGCACTGGCAACACCACGGACAAACTGTCCAAGTCTTCTATCGCAAAAACAATTAAACAAAGAGATCAACACAGTAATTGATCTCCACTTGAGAAACAGCACATTCAGGGGCAGTTACAAAGTGGCAGAAGGAAAATGAGCATTCATGCAACAACCCCTGGCTCCTTTTCTTCTATGAGAGACAAAGTCTGAGCCTGCTATTTGCAGAGTTTGTTTGCCAGGAATAGTGGATTGAACTGGAATGTGTTTACTGTGTGTCGATGGAGAGATGCAGGGAGAGAGACAAGTAAGAGAACAAGGGCTGGTCTCACCCATGTGCATTGAGAAGGGCTTGGGAATTCAGTCTGTGCTTTTTTCATATCCTCATAAGTTTGGACAAAGCATGTAGCAACACAAAGAGAGCGTTCGGAACCCTGAGTATACTCAGTACTCTTGCACATTGTATAAAGGACAAACAAGACCATATCTGCCATATTATCTATTAAGATAAGCTATCAGTTTAGCCAGAATGGTTATTCCACTGTACGTCATCAGAAGCACATAAGCGGTGCCACTTTTAGTTTAATGTGGTAATTTTATTTTATTTTTTTTGTTCATGTGCCGCAGGATGTCCCAAGAAAATCCTTGACCATGAAGTATTCCAAATATATAATTTGGCAGCGAAAGGCGGCCCAGAGGCTGCGAAGGGGGATCCCTTCAATTCTTCGAGCCAAATGCAGGCGGCAGGCAGGGAAAATGAAGGCCCAGGAGCAGGTGACCCTCCACAGACCTCTTATCAGCCTCCACAGCAATCTGCATTCAGTCATGCCGCCCACAGAAAACTATGTCATCAACAAATGAATTCAGGATTGTTTGTACAGACAAGAGTTCAACAAAAAAGACCAGGGGATTATAGCTTTCTATGACATCACAACTATGCCAGTCTTCTGAAGTCTTAATCCTCGCCATCTCTTACCCTCATATATACACATTCTCCTGTTTTTAGCTGTCTTTCTCTCCCACACACACATATATGCTCAAATAAAAAATAGGTAAATACGAAAAACAAAAAAAAAAGTGAAGAAAAGAAGATGAAAGAGGTTTACGGCTTGGCAAGCAACAAGAGGACACATAGCAGAATGGTTTTATTGGGGAGGAAAACAAAATGTGAAAAGCAAGTATAAAAGACCATTACAAGCCAGCTTTCAGAGAAAAAAGGGCACCTTTTTGTTCCATATTAGATTGCACCTGTTACTATAAAGAAGTATATCCACACTGTAAGGAATTATTTTATTCAATTAGATTCCTGTTCCAGCACCTTTTAATAAGAAACAAAAATGCAGAAAGAGCCTGCAATTGCACATTGCTATGGATTTTGTTTTAAAGTAAATACAAATTGCACTTTTTTTCTTTCTTTTTTTCAAATAATGAACATGTAGCTCAAAAATGTCCCGGTGCTACCTTTGGGAAAGGACTCGAAGTTTTAAAAGTTTAAAAAAGATGCAGATTTTTTTTTTCTTTGAAAAATGATTAAACTTTCTGTTTTAGGAAAAAAGTGTGACTTTGGGGAAAAAAATAATTGCTTGCATTTGGAAAACCTGGATTTTGTTGGATACAGAGTGGTATCCCACAATGCACCTGTGTCATGGAAGGTGGATACATTAGGGCATCTGTACTGTTTGAAGTCATGCTGTAGTGCTCACAAGGGGGAAACAGCGTGGGGATGAGCAGAGAGGTAATGTCATACCTCTGCAAAACCAACAAAAGGCCCCTTTGCTGTAAAAATGAAACATCATCTTATTCTGACAGAACTTCAGTCAGTTACAGAGAAAGTGTGACATGTTTCTGTTTTTCTTTTCATTCTTTGCTGAAAGCAAAAAGCAAAAAAAAAAAAAAGATAAAAAAGGTCTTATTCTTGTATCATGACATTCCACATCACAAAATAGAAATGTTAATTTTTAAGATATTTTACTGTTGTCATCAATATTTTACATTTCTAAAAAAGGCACAGAGAAAAACATTAGTAGTAGGAACTAACATTTTGTTTTATATTGTTTATCAGTAGTATTTACATGCTTTTGCTTGACAACAAATACTTGAATGTGTGATTAGTTTCCAGGGACACCATGTTTCAATGTCTTGAGCTGTGTCTTGGAAAATGAGTTGCCAAGCCTTTTTAACACAGACAATGATGGCACTGTATAAATACATTATTTATTTTGTGAAAATAAGTACAATATTCATATAGAATTCATTTTCATATATGTCAAGTATATGAAAATTGTTCTCAAATACACTTAGCACTGAAGCACATCTGACAGGCTTGTTTTTTTTTTTACTTTTTTTTTAATCTGTGATGCATTTTGTAGATGCTTTGTACCAAAAAAAAACTCTTTATTCTCCTTATGCCAAGTTGTATTGATATTTTTTGTCATTTGTATGTTTGATTTGCCTAGAATGCCAATTAATGTCTAGCATGGCCATTTCACCACAATAATGATACCATAGGAAAAACAGCAGTATTCAAGAATGTCTTGAAATGTATGTCAAAATATTATGTCAGTTATTTCCTGTGCATTATTATGTTATCAACTTTATTATACATTTTTTGTAGAATGTGTGTATTATTTGCACTTGGCCTTTTGTCGTATTGTGGGTTTATGTTCTTGGTCAGGTGACCGATTTGTAGTCACAACTGTTCCTTGAACTTGATGATATCGAGCTGGGTGAGGCACAGAGTGTGATATCAAGCTGGATGAGTTAGAGAGTATGATATCAAGCTGGGTGAGTTAGAGAGTATGATATCAAGCTGGGTGAGTTAGAGAGTGTGATATAGAGCTGGATGAGTTAGAGAGTGTGATATCGAGCTGGGTGAGATAGAGATTGTGATATAGAGCTGGGTGAGTTAGAGAGTGTGATATACAGCTGGGGAGAGAGCAGAGAGTGTTCTTTTTTGTTGTTTTGTTCTCCTGATATTCTGAATGACTGGTTCCTACGGGTCAGGTGAATACAGTGCTCTGTATATGTGCAAAACAAGAGGACATGACGGTCACACATCACACCAGGTCACATTAACAGTCTCAGCCATCCCTCCAAATGCAATGCCAGCAGTAGTCAATACTACTAGTGTTCCATCCACCCTCATCGTATATTAGTAAAAAAGTTCCTATGTTGAACATAAGTGTGAGAACTCAGGAAATCATGCACACATGGAAACACACACACATATATTTAGAGCGATCTAGATCAAGGGTGGTGTACAGACTACTTTAAAAGGACGACAATAGTTTAAAAACTACCTGATAAGTCTAACAGAATGTATTTTTGCTTGCTCTGTGAAGTCGACTTTTACCAGTCCCACTGGCAAAGGTAAGGCTGAAGGTAAAGAAGAAACATTCTTGCTACTTCCTCTCCAGCCTTGGCTAGGCAGAGGCGGAGCTCTGTCGGTGTGAACCAGCGACCTGACCCTGTCGGGCAAAGTGTATGTCCAAGGGATTCTGCTTAGTCACGGGATGTAGGTGTCTTTCTGAACAATTAATGGTCTTGAGATAAGATATATATATATATATATATATATATATATATATATATATAATATGCTTGTTTGAGTCATGTTACAAACCAGTGCAATTATGGTTGATATTTTTTATTTTGAGTTTCTAGAATTGTTTTTCCAATGACTTTACAATATGGTTTGCTGAATAGTGTCTGTTTCCTCCTAAGACTACAATCATACGTGTTACTTGTCTTTTGAAAGACATAGTTGAAGAGAACCACTTTTAGGAAACTAAGTATGTGACATTTATTTGCCAATGAGAATGTTTTAGGAGCTCCCTGAGCCCATGTGTATTTCACTTCCGCACGTTAGAACATCTTAAAATGCACTATCCATCTACTCTGGTTTAATAAAACAATTTATCATCTGCCAGCAGCACTGGTGTCTCTTTTGGTTTCGGTTACAGTATGTCTGTTATGCATTGTTAGAATTCTTTTCTAGTTTCTAGTAGGGCCAGCGATGCAGAAAGGGGATGCATACCCTGGAAGATTGAGGAGGCCCAGCACTTTACACAGGCCCCTGAATACATACAATTATGGGGGCAGAATTTCCAGATATGCCCCCGAGTAGGGATATCTGCTGCACCAAGGGAAGATGGAGAAAGACATCCTCACTACCATGGATGGGTGGATGAATGGATGATGTATCATGGCCTAAGCCACCAAATGGAAGAAAAAAAGAAAGGAAAACACATTTTCTTGGTCTTGCAAACAAAATTAATGCATTGAAAGGAAGGTAGAACTTCCTTATCTAAACATCATAATGATTAACACAGTGTAAATACAATGAAATACTGTAGTTCATCTTCCAAATCTGTCTGTCTTCCAAGATTTTCCCTGTTTCCCAAGTTACTGGTGTGGAACAGCTGACACCAAAGGGTTCTCCCAGAGTGCCAAACTGAAAGAACATGACACTGCGACAATGTGCTGCACGCACACCTGATGAGAAGCGGCAATCACTCAGCAGAGGCATCTTGCAATAGATCATTTACCGAAGGCAAACTGCAGACACTTTACTGGTTTATTTATAGATTACACAGAAATTCATTTGGAGTTGTCAGAGGACATATCGACAGGGGAAAAATCATCATTTGCAATGAGAGTGACATGTGACAACACTGGACGCCTTCAGTTCATGTGTAAGCCAAAACTTAATAGTAACACAATGCTGAAAAGACAGCCTGCCAAACGCCATCTTACTTATTTAATTAACTGCAGTATTTTGAATATAATCGAATTCTGAATATTTAATTACCAGTATGAATATTAAAGCTTAGCAACAGATTTCCAAGTTACATTACATTGCTCAAATAAATATTTACAAGGCTGATATACAATCTTTAACACTGCGTTATTAGGAAATCATTAACTACTTCTTTAACTATAAAATATTCAATAGAATACTGCCATATATCTGTAAAATATTTTTGACATATTATGTAAAACTGAACAGAAAATGACTTTAAAAATGTTATCAGGATTGATGTATGACTCATAATATCAACAAGTAACATATTTGTTTAACCTGGAACAGGTTGAGTTGATTTGGGAGAGCTGGCATAATATTCATTGCACATTGGTGAAGAAAAAAAAAGATTGGTAGTCATTATGGAAGTTAAGGTGCAAAATGAAATCTCCTTAAAAGTAAAGTCATTTTAATGTGTTTACTGTTGATTGTTTAAAAATACAAAACAATTAAAACAACTGATAGCTTATTATAAAATGTAAACTTGTATTTCTGTTATTCTCTGTATAAAAACATATTCCTATATTGTGTTATTTACATTTAAAGAGCTTCCCAGTACTCTGAGCCAGCGACAGAAATGCTCTCTAGGAAATAAATAGTATTAAACTGAAAAATATCAACTATGGTCCACAAAGCAGGATATGACAATTAAGCATTTTTTGGCATAAATTTCCATATACGCAAGATTCTGTGAAAGTGCAGGAGTCTGCGAAATTCCCCTTTAAATTTGTTGACTAAAAGGAAAAATTGCTACAAAATTTGACTTCAATTATTGAATGGGAGGGAAAATACATTTTTTTCTGCTCTCACATTCTTTTCATCGCAGTCAGATTTTTATCACAATCAATTTTTTTTTAAAGAGGATAGCAACAACCAGACTGGACTACAGACTGGAGCCTGCACCCGTTTTTCATTTTTAAAAACTCTTAAATCATTTAAAAAAAAAAAAAAAAAAAAAAGGCAAGCCAAAATGATATCATCAAATTTTTAAAAACATTACAAATCCTGTTGCAAAGAAATAGCATGAACCAGACAATGCATAGAACAATCATTAGACGTAGATAAGCATATTAAGATTCCTCAACTTTGAAGAGATTGTAACTGTGCCACATGGCTTTTCCAGATTGCTGTGGTCTGAGAATCAGCCAAGCTGTTGATTCCTCCTTTAGTTCCTAGCCAAAGGCTGCCAATTTTATGTTAATGCTTTAGTAAGGCATGAGAGCCACTTCGGCCAGGAGCCAACAATGGTGTTGACACCTAGTGGTTAATGATGTGTCCCACAGTTCAGCATGCTCTCTAAAATCTGTGTTATAAGTGCGTCTAAAACTCCAGTAAGCCTCAGCAGGTTAGGAAGAGTGTTCCCATCCAATCATAGTGTTTTACAACTTCCAAATAAAACCAATTACCAGTCATTAGAACCATTTAAGTGTTTTTGGTCACATCCCAAACAGTTTGTGCAACAGTGATCTCAACCAGTGTCCTTCCAAACTGCACTGCCAAATAATTTTAGTAATCATAAAGCAGGGAATATCTGATAGATGATAAATGTATAAGTTTATCCACTATACATATTGCTAATGGTTATTCTATGTTTTTAGGATAATGTGAATGTGCATTTCAGCTTTGTCCTTTGCCCACTCGTATGTCACAGACATCTGTTTCCTTCCAATGGGTGATAAAAAGCAGTGATGGAATGCGGATGGTGTGGGTGAGAATGGTATGTGTGAGAGGATAAAGGATATTATTCTGAGGCACATCTATCTTACTGCTACAGCAAAGTCTTTGAGAATCAAAAATGACATTTCGTATCAACTTTCCAGAATTTCAAAATGTTTTTGATAATTGCAAAACAGTAAAAACCTTTTGCAGTTTTGCATATATAAACAACATAATACGTGTGTGTGTGCATGTGTGTGCATAAGCGTATCCATGTGTGTTTGTGTGTGTGTGTGTGTGTGTGTGTGTGTGTGTGGGTCAGATATACATTATATTGTGGGGACCAAATGGCCCCACAATGTGACAAGAACCTGTTATTTTGACGAAGTGGGGACCATTTCTTCTGTTCCCACAAGGGAAAATCAAACTTGATAAAAATCTGTGACATACATTACATTACATTACATTACATTACATTAAGCCCTTTGCTCCTCTTGGGTGCATTGGCCGTTGGCGAATATCCTCCACTTCACTCTATCCATGGCTTTTCGCTCGAGTTCTCCCCAGTTGAGCCCACTCTCGGACGTTTCTGCCTCTACACTTCTTCTCCAACTGTTCCTGGGACAGCCTCCTTTCCTTTTCCCTTGGGGGTTCCATTTCAGGGCTTGACGGGTAATATTTGTGGCAGGTTTTCTGAGGGTGTGACCGATCCAGCTCCATTTTCTCTTCCGGATTTGTAAATCTATGGGGTCTTGACTTGTTCTTTTCCACAGGTCCACATTGTTCACCTTGTCTTTCCACCAAATGTGTAGTATCCTTCTTAGGCATGTGTTGATGAATGTTTGCAGCCTGTGTGTTGTGTGTTTTGTTGTTCTCCATGTTTCAGATCCATACAACATCACCTGTTTCACGTTGGAGTTAAAGATGCGTATCTTAGCGTTGGCGGAGATGTATTTTGAGCTCCAGATCTTTCTGAGCATGTTAAACACCACTCTAGTCTTGTTGATTTTGCTTCTGCTGTCTGCATCCATCACACTGCCTAGGTAGCTAAAAGCTCCTACCTCCACTAGGGCAGTGTTCTTCATGAAAATGAGGTTGCTGGTTTTGGAGTGGATCTTGATCACTTGTGTTTTTGTTGTATTGGGAGTGAGACCAAGTTTTATTGCATTTTGTGTAAGTCTGTCTGTCTTCTCTTGCATTTGTGTCTGTGTGTGTAAAAGGAAAACTATATCATCCACAAATTCCAGATCATCCAGCTGCTCCCACATTGTCCACTGAATTCCATTTCTCTTCCCCTCCATTGTTTCCCACATGACCCAGTCAATTTTGAAGAGGAAGAGGAATGGTGAGAGAAGACATCCCTGTGACTGTCGTCAAAAAAACTAAAAATGCCAAAAGACATGTATTTTGCTTGGTTACTTATGCTTAAGGTGAGGGCTGGTAGGGGTTAAGTCTGTCAGTGCTGGGATTAGGGTTTTGCCCATAGAAATGAATGGATGGTCCCAAGAAACAATGAATACAGGTCTGTGTGTGTGTCTGTTTGTATGTGGATTAGGTTTATATTACATTGTGGAGGCCAAATGTTGTGGGGACCATTTTAAGGTCTTCACAAAGATCTGTGAATGCAATCAAACCACTAAAAGTGCCAAAGTTTCATATTTAGTTTGGTTACTTATGGTTAAGGTTAGGGCTGGGTAGGGGTTAAGGTTGTCATGCTAGGATTTGCGTTTTCCCCTTAGAAATGAATGGAGAGTCCCCACAAAGATATAATTTATATATAACCTGTGTGTGTGTGTGTGTGTGTGTGTGTGTGTGTGTGTGGAATTTGCATGTTCTCATTTCCCATAGTGTCAAGTGTCTGCCATAGCTCTGCGTGTGGAGTTGTGTGGAGCATGTTCTTCCCATGTCATTGTGGGGTTTCCTCCGGGTACTCTGGTCTTCCCCCACCATCCAAAAACAGGCTAAGGTTAATGGGAATTACCACATGTTTGTATATGGTGTCTGTGTACCCTGTGATGGGGGGGCACCTTGCCCTGGTTTCTTCCCTGCCTTGCACCTGTAGGGTCCAGATCCCCGGCAACCCTGAATAGGACAGAGTGGGTACAGAAGATGGGTAGGTAATCTATTGATTGACGTGATGAGGGGGGGGTAGTGTCCAGCCACCATTTTCCATGAATAGCATCAGGATTGTGGGTGTTCTGCAGGACAGGTGCCAAACTCTATCAAAAGTTTTGAATTTAACATTGTTGAGAAAACTTTATGGCTAACATTGTCCCAGACATGTACAACAGAAAATGAAGGACTTTTCATCTGCGGGGTCTGCAGACACAATTCCTTTGCTAGCTTGATGACAGCTCTGAGAAATGGAGGACTTGATTCCAGCTCTTGATTAGAAGCTCTACCCAAACATCTGCTTTCAAGAAACTCAGATAATTCAAACCACAAACAGCACATTATACCAAAGCAT